AATTTCTTCTCTAATTGCCTGGTTGACCCACTCATTCGTTAGTAGGGTGTTCTTTAACCTCCATGCTTTTGGAGGTTTTCCAGACTTTTTCATGTGGTTGATTTCAAGCTTCATAGCATTGTGGTCTGAAAGTATGCATGGTATAATTTCAATTCTTGTAAACTTATGAAGGGCTGTTTTGTGACCCAGTATATGATCTATCTTGGAGAATGTTCCATGTGCACTCGAGAAGAAAGTATATTCTGTTGCTTTGGGATGCAGAGTTCTAAATAGATCTGTCAAGTCCATCTGATCCAATGTCTCATTCAGGGCCCTTGTTTCTTTATTGACCGTGTGTCTAGATGATCTATCCATTTCTGTAAGTGGGGTGTTAAAGTCCCCTGCAATGACCACATTCTTATCAATAAGGTTGCTTATGTTTATGAGTAATTGTTTTATATATTTGGGGGCTCTGGTATTTGGCACATAGACATTTATAATTGTTAGCTCTTCCTGATGGATAGACCCTGTCACTATTATATAATGCCCTTCTTCATCTCTTGTTACAGCCTTTAATTTAAAGTCTAGTTTGTCTGATATAAGTATGGCTACTCCAGCTTTCTTCTGGCTTCCAGTAGCATGATAAATAGTTCTCCATCCCCTCACTCTCAATCTAAAGGTGTCCTCAGGTCTAAAATGAGTCTCTTGTAGACAGAAAATAGATGGGTCTTGTTTTTTTATCCATTCTGATACCCTATGTCTTTTGGTTGGCGCATTTAATCCATTTACATTCAGTGTTATTATAGAAAGATACGGGTTTAGAGTCATTGTGATGTCTGTATGTTTTATGTTGTAGTGATGTCTCTGGTACTTTGTCTCACAGGGTCCCCCTTAGGATCTCTTGTAGTACTGGTTTAGTGGTGACAAATTCCTTCAGTTTTTGTTTGTTTGGGAAGACCTTTATCTCTCCTTCTATTCTAAATGACAGACTTGCTGGATAAAGGATTCTCGGCTGCATATTTTTTCTGTTTAGCACACTGAAGATCTCGTGCCAATTCTTTCTGGCCTGCCAAGTTTCAAAAGAGAGATCAGTCACGAGTCTTATAGGTCTCCCTTTATATGTGAGGGCACATTTATCCCTTGCTGCTCATAATTTTCTCTTTATCCTTGTATTTTGCCAGTTTCACTATGATATGTCATGCAGAAGATCGATTCAAGTTACGTCTAAAGGGAGTTCTCTGTGCCTCTTGGATTTCAATGCCTTTTCCTTCCCCACTTCAGGGAAGTTCTCAGCTATTATTTCTTCAAGTACCCCTTCAGCACCTTTCCCTCTCTCTTCCTCCTCTGGATACCAATTATGCGTATATTATTTCTTTTTAGTGTATCACTTAGTTCTCTAATTTTCCCCTCATACTCCTGGATTTTTTTATCTCTCTTTCTCTCAGCTTCCTCTTTTTCCATAACTTTATCTTCTAGTTCACCTATTCTCTCCTCTGCCTCTTCAATCCGAGCTGTCGTCATTTCCATTTTGTTTTGCATTTCATTTAAAGCACTTTTCAGCTCCTCGTGACTGTTCCTTAGTCCCTTGATCTCTGTAGCAAGAGATTCTCTGCTGTCCTCTATACTGTTTTCCAGCCCAGCGATTAATTTTATGACTATTATTCTAAATTCACTTTCTGTTATATTATTTAAATCCTTTTTGATCAGTTCATTAGCTGTTGTTATTTCCTGGAGATTCTTCTGAGGGGAATTCTTCCGCTTGGTCATTTTGGATAGTCCCTGGCGTGGTGAGGACCTGCAGGGCACTTCCCCTGTGCTGTGGTGTATAACTGGAGTTGGTGGGCGGGGCCGCTGTCCGACCTGATGTGTGCCCCCAGCCCACCGCTGGGGCCACAGTCAGACTGGTGTGTGCCTTCTCTTCCCCTCTCCTAGGGGCGGGATTCACTGTGGGGTGGGGTGGCCCGTCTGGGCTACTTGCACACTGCCAGGCTTGTGATGCTGGGGATCTGGCGTATTAGCTGGGGTGGGTAGGCAAGGTGCACAGGGGCAGGAGGGGCAGGCTTAGCTCTCTTCTCCTTAGGTGATCCACTTCAGGAGGGGCCCTGTGGCAGCGAGAGGGAGTCAGATCCGCTGTCGGAGGTTTGGCTCCGCAGAAGCACAGAGTTGGGTGTTTGCGCAGAGCAAGCAAGTTCCCTGGCAGGAACTGGTTCCCTTTGGGATTTTGGCTGGGGGATGGGCGGGGGAGATGGCGCTGGCGAACGCCTTTGTTCCCCAACAAACTGAGCTCTGTCGTCTGGGGGCTCAGCAACTCTCCCTCCCTTTGTCCTCCAGCCTTCCCGCTTTCTGAGCAGAGCTGTTCACTTATGACCTCCTAGATGCTAAGTCCCGCTTGCTGTCGGAACACACTCGTCCGGCCCCTCCACTTTTGCAAGCCAGACTCGGGGGCTCTGCTTGGCCTGCAGGCCGCCCCTCCGCCGGCTCCCTCCCACCAGTCCATGGAGCGTGCACCGCCTCGCTGCCCTTCCTACCCTCTTCCTTGGGCCTCTCATGTGCACTTCGCTCCAGAGACTCCGTTCTGCTAATCCTCTGGCGGTTTTCTGGGTTATTTAGGCATGTGTAGGTGGAATCTAAGTGATCAGCAGGACGCACGGTGAGCCCAGCATCCTCCTGTGCCGCCATCTTCCCTCTCTCCTCCAAAAATAAATAAAAATTTAAAAAAAAAAGCTGTCAATTCAGGTCTGCTTCAATATTTGATTAGATTTATTTTTTGACTTACCTTTCGAGTTTTATGTTGTTACTTTAGATGATTTTAAATAAATCAAACTTTTCCTATTATATGACATAATTTTAGAGCCGTATTTTTCCAGGAACAAGATTTAGTTTCAAGATAGAACCAAAACCACATCTCAGATTTAGTTAATAGTTAAAGCATACATATATAAGGGGGAAAAGTAAAATTTCTAGTATCAATATCCTTGATTTTTTCTATTAAATTATTGCTTTTATACCACCCTATTAAAACATCTAGTTGAAACAATTTGGTATTTAAGGAATCTTACGTGTAATCTGAATTGCAGTGTTGTTGGGTTCTTTGTTTTTTTTTTTTTTTTTTTCCTAAATATGTCTTGGTACCTTGGGCACAAATAGTATCCTTATCTTATTACAGTATATCTTATTCTGTTTGGGCTACTACTCTGTTTGTGGCTACCCACCACAGATTGGGTGTCTTAAGCACCTAAACATATATTTCTCACACTTCTGGAGGCTAGAAATTCTGGGATCATGGTGCTGACAGATTCACTGTCTGGTGAGGGCCTGTCTCCTGATTCATGGTTGACTGTTTTCTTACTGTGTCCTAATACTGTAGCAGGGGTGAAAGCCTCTTTTATGAGGGCACCTCACAAAGGCCCACCTCCAACTACCATCACATTGGGAATTAGGTTTCAGCATATTACTTTTGTGGGAATACATTTAGTTTGTAGCACAGTATGTAATATATAACATTTTCTTTTGAATCCATGTCTTCTGTCCACTATAGATACAGTGACTATTCCACAGACCACAGACCTTCCTTCTTACCAGTATTTTATGTCCAAGCATCTTTTTTTGGTGTGCCCAGCATATCTTTATCCTAGACTTCATTTGTCAGTATATCTTAATTTGTAATATTCAAAGGAGTGCTCAGTGTCTATCAGTAGATGAATAAAGAAGATATGGTGTATACATACATTGGAATATTATTCAGTCATTAAAAAGAATGAAATCTTGCCATTTGCAGCAACATGGGTTAGATCTAGAGGGTATAGGCTAAGCAAAATAAGTCCTAGAAAGACAAATATCATGAGTTTACTCCTGTGGAATTTAAGAAACAAAGAAGCAGGAAAAAAAAAAAAAGACAAACCAGAAAACAGACTCCTAACTATAGAGAAGGTACATTGGAGGGAGTGTGAGTGAAATAGGTGATGGGGATTTTAAGAGTACACATCTTGATGAGTGCCAAGTAATACACAGAATTTTTGAATCACTATGTTAAATACCTGTAACTAATTTAACACTGTATGTTAACTATACCAGAATTAAAATGAAACACACACACACACACACACACACACACACACACACACACACAAAGGAGTGCTTAGAAAACGGGTAACAAAAGCAACTCATGCTCTCTTTACATCATTTTCTAGTTTCCAAGTAGTCATAATGGGTGTAAGACCAGTAGCCATCCATTTCAACAATTTCAGTGATACGGAAACAACTTTTTTCTGAAGTATTATCTAGTAGTTTATAAAATTTCTCTTGTGAGAACCTCCGACCCTCTAAGGAGAAAAGAGATCTACTTTAGAATTCTTAATTTTTAAATAGGAATGACTTGTTTAACTTCTGTTTTAAGTTTTCAGCCCATTCTTTTATACCTTACTAATGACATTGCATCTCTTTGAGCTCTCTTTCAACAGTTATTTTAACCAAGAACTCCAAAGTTTTGATATTGGTCAAAATTTTAACCAGAAATGGCCATTCTTTAAATTACTTTGTGTTGTGAAACTGAACTATTACAGTACTAGAATAATTGTAATTTGTGGTCCTTAGATATAGAAAAGTAACTTACTCTCACCAACTATTTCTCAGCCACATTTATCTCATGTATTAGGTGTTGGTTTCATGCTGTCATCTGAGAAATCAAGACGAGTCAATTGTCTTTGGCAGAAACCTGTATAAAGTACTGGGATTTTTTTCTTTGCTTGCTTGCTTGTTTTTTGTTTTCTTTCTCTTCTGGGTCAGTTCTGGCTCTTCACTGGAATTTCAATTTTTTTTACTTTCTGTATTTTCTGTAGATTCTTTTTTGAATAGAAATCATGACCTTGATACCTTGTCCTAATTCTGGTAAAGAATATGGAAACAGGTGCTAAGACAGAAGTAGGAAAGGAAAAGTAGCAAGATTAAAGATAGACTTTAGACTCTTTCCATTTTTTTTTTTTTTTTTTGGTGTATAGTCTTAATATTGAACTTCTTCTGAGTGTTTTGTTTTTACTTTTTAGGTAATGGGAATTGCAGTGATACTAGAGGTTTAGAAATTGCTATAAAGCAACGTGTTGATGATGCACTGACTTCAAAACTTCCAATGTTTTACTTGGTCAACAGACCTCATGTTAGTTTAGTACCTTCTGCATATCCACTTCAAACAAACTTGGAATATAAATCCCTGAGTCTGAATTGGGCACAGGGGGACATTTCTTTGGAGATTGTGGATGGCCTAAGTGGAAAGATCACTGAAAGGTTAGCATTTCTAATTTTTTTTAAAACCGCATATTAAGCAGGGCACTTGTGATGAGTACCGGGTATTATATGTAAGTGATGAATCACTAAATTGTATACCTAAAACTAATATTACACTGTGTCAACTAACTGGAATTTAAATAAAAATGAAAAAAAAGAAAAAGTAAATTGTAAGAGAAAATGCTGTATTTATTAGAAAAGAACATCTGTACATAAATCTGTACATAAAAAGAAAAACTGTACATACAGTTTAAACCTGTGTTGTTCAAGGATCAGCTGTATTTAGAAGTGCAAGTGTAAGGGGCCCAGAAGTTAAGCTTCACAGTAAATCTCCCTCTGTCTATGCTATAATAAAAACAAAGCCCCTCCCAAAAGCACATATAAGCAAAATAATACATTTTATTTATTTTTTTTTTCCAACGTTTATTTATTTGTGGGACAGAGAAACAGAGCATGAACGGGGGAGGGGCAGAGAGAGAGAGGGAGACACAGAATCAGAAACAGGCTCCAGGCTCTGAGCCATCAGCCCAGAGCCCGACGCGGGGTCGAACTCACGGACCACGAGATCGTGACCTGGCTGAAGTCGGACACTTAACCGACTGCGCCACCCAGGCGCCCCAAAATAATACATTTTAATACAGTTTTTAAAATTATTGTAACTTTTTTAGGTAAAAAATTTTAAATTATGAACAATAATGGTGTGTTATCATTGAGTGTGACTATACTAATTTAAGGAGAAAAAAACATTTTTTTTTTTTCTGATGAGAAAACAGACCTGGAGAAGTTCTATAACTTACTGAAATTACATAGTAAGTTGAATGGAGCCAGCATTTAAAATCAGTCTCCAGAACCTATATTTTTCTAAGTATCATTTCATGATTTTAAATACTTAAATTTTGGGGCGCCTGGGTGGCGCAGTCGGTTAAGCGTCCAACTTCAGCCAGGTCATGATCTCGCGGTCTGCGAGTTCGAGCCCCGCGTCGGGCTCTGGGCTGATGGCTCAGAGCCTGGAGCCTGTTTCCGATTCTGTGTCTCCCTCTCTCTCTCTGCCCCTCCCCCGTTCATGCTCTGTCTCTCTCTGTCCCAAAAATAAATAAATGTTGAAAAAAAAATTTTTTTAAATACTTAAATTTTTTTTAAACATTTATTCATTTTTGAGAGACAGCATGAGCGGGAGAGCGGCAGAGAGAGAGAGGGAGACACAGAATCCGAAGCAGGCTCCAGACTCTGAGCTGTTAGCATAGAGCCCAACCCAAGGCTCAAACTCATGAATTGTGAGATCATGATCTAAGCTGAAGTCAGATGCTTAACCAACTGAGCCACCCAGGCACACCTCATTTCATGATTTTAATTAGCACTGGAATCATATAATGTGTTTGTATTAAAAATTCATTTTCTCTTACTGAAGCTGAATTTCTGGATCTAAGGCTCAAGAATCTGTATATTTAATATGTGTTTTCAAGTATTACCTACTTACACTTAATTTTTTATTTTTTTACTTTTTATTTTTGAGAGCGAGAGAGACAGAGCATGAGCCAGGGAGAGCAGAGAGAGAGAGGGAGACACAGAATCCAAACTAGGCTCCAGGCTCTGAGCTTGTCCACATAGAGCCCTACACGGGGCTTGAATTCACGAACCACAAGATCATGACCTGAACTGAAGTCGGATGCTGAACCGACTGAGCCACTCAGGCGCGCCTATTACTTACTTACACTTAAATGTGAGAACTAACATACTATGTTATACTACCTTCTTGTAATAACCCTGTAGATTAGGTTGTATTGTTGCTCTTTTACAGGTAAACTGTCAAGTAGGTTAAATACCTTGTTTAAAGTCATCCAAATAGTAAGTGACACAGCTGGGATTCTGATCTGGACATTGTATTTCCAAAGCCCTTGTCTTTAGACACTATGCCTTTAGACATTTCTTTGTAACATCCCTGCCGCTGATTGTCAAGCAAAGCTAAAACCCTTCTTTTCGTGTGACCATAGGTTTATACTGAAGTAATGAATAATGTTAAAAGTTTAAATGCTTAATCTTGCTTTCTTTGTGAAAGATGGATTTAAATCAAGACCACATACAAATATTTCTTGGTATGAACTCAGTCAAGCATTCTGTTGATTACTTCAGCTAATGTGAATTAAACTATTGCTTTGCATCATCAAAAAGTAATATCACTGTTAATTATGAACAAACTATACACATAAAAACAAAACAAATCTTTGATAAAAGACATTTAAAAATCTTTTACTGAAAACAGAAAATAATGCAACATGACTAAAATCAATAAATATAAAATGAGCCTAATTCTTTTATTGTAGCTAAATCCTTGCCAGGTGATTACAAATGGAGAGAGCAGATGTGATCTAAATATTAGACAAAGTATAGTTCAACCTCAAAGCATTACGTAAGGCAAAGGATACTTTATCATTGAAAGGTATAATTTACAAGGAAGACAAAAACAGTTAATGGATACCTATGCAACAAATAACATAGTATCAAGGTTCATATAGCAGAAGTTACAGAAAAGGAGGAAAAATTAAGATCCACCACTAGTTGAGACCATAATTGACCTCTTTCATTAGCAAATAGACAATAAGCAAGGATATAGTGGTTTTTAATAACAAAAAGATAGATTTGCTTAACTTATGAAACTTTGCACCATAAAAATGTAAAATATACCTACTTTTCAAGAACTTGTAGAATATTGAAAAAAATTCATCCTATGTTAGGCCACAAAGAAAATTTCAAATTCTAAAAGAAGCAATGTGTAGATAGCATTTGTAATATAGTAAATCTATAAATACTAAAATCAGGATACTAGAAATTTATTGGGAAAAATACTCTTAACTTTTGGCTCAAAGAGGAAATGTAAAATGAAACTTCAGAATATTTAGAATACAAGGATATTGAAAGCATTTCATGTAAGAACTTGTAGGATATAGCTAAAGCAAAGCTGAATAGAAAATCAGTACTTTAAATGCTTATATCAACAAATAATGGAAATCAAGCAGAATGAAAAAAATCAATAAAAGAAATGTAAATTAAAGAGCTAGAGCACAAACAAGTTGTAAGTAATCATAAAAAGCTGATTCTGGTAAATGTCACTTATTAATCTCATTTAACAAAAAGGGAGTAATTAACAAAAATAGAAGATTGAAAGAATCCTAAAAAACTTCTTTGGTCAACCATGTAAATATATTTGAAAATCTTGTGAAATGCATACATTTCTAGGAAAAAATTATTTCTATAACTGGTACAGAAGAGGGAAAAATCTAAACACTGTTTTCGTAATAAAAGTTATCAAGAAGATGCCCTAACTGTTCTCAAAGAAGGCACCATTCTGCAGTGGTTCAGAGGAATTTTTTAAATCTTAAATAGTAGACATTTCCAGTGCTATCTAAAGATAGAAAACTTCAAAATCCTTTTATGAAGCAGGTATACCACTGTACTTAAATAGGATAGAAGATTGATGCCCTCCCCTCACAAAAGTTACAGGCTAAACTTTCTTTTTTATATGAGCAAGATTTATGTATAAAATATTAGGAAGCAGAATGTAGTAGTATAGTAAAAATATATATATATACTTTATACAGCAATACCAATTGGTATTTTTTCTAGGAATTTGAGGATAGTACTAACATAATAGAAATAATACCACATTAGAAATTCTTATTAAAATAATTTGTCGTAATAATTGATCTAGGGAAATACCCCAAATATTCCTCTCTATAAATTCTAAGAAGGCACATAATACAGATATTCAACTATCTAGATAAAGATAATAAAAAAGGAATATTTTGATACTTTTGTTAAAGATAAAATGTGTCTTTATTAGAAGTATCATCATGATTGATGAGGAAATCTCAGAAGCATTTCCACTAACATCCAGAACAAGACATTATTGTTTACTGTTACTGCTATTTAATCTTTTACTGAAAGCATTTGGACAAGAGAAAGAAGTGAGAGGCTATAAAATATTGAAAAGAAGGAGGTAAAATTACCTTTATTTGCATATGGTATCATTTATACCTGAAAAGCTGAAGAATCATTGGAAAAAACTACAACAAAAGGTTATCTTGGTGAAAATATTAATAAAGATATCACACAACAGATTTCATACACCAGAGGGTACGTTAACTACTGCTGTATATAAACTACCTCAAAACGTGGTTAAAACTACCTCAAAACTTAAAATAACCAGTTATTACTGCTCACAAGTTTTTAGGTCACCTGAGCTGGATTTGGTTAGACTCCCTCATTCGTCTGGAGTTAGCTCTAGGTCAATTGAAAGTCAATTTGGCTGATCTTAGAGGGATGACGGGAATCTGGTCCATATGTTATCTCAACCTCTTGTAGATTAGTCCCAGCTGGCTCATTTGGCAGAGGATTCCCTAGAGAATGAGAACACAAACCTATGAGGCCCAGGCTCAGAACTGACACATCATCTATTCTGTTCAAAATAAGTCACAAAGCTAGGCCAATTCAAGGGGAGGAGAAATTAACCACAGTTATTGAGAGGAGAATTTGAAAAGTCACATTATAAAGAGCATGAACACAGGGAGGAAGAAAGGATTTGGGCAATTTTTGTAATCACAAGAACAGCTAATGTGAGAAGATACAACGAAGAGAGAGTTACAATAGCAAAAACTTTCATAGTCTGTGGACCCGCTTTTATTAGAAACAAAAAATATATCTACATGCACGTATGCAAATATGGGAGGTCATGAGAAGGGGTGTAGATATTTTACTTTTTAGTGAGTTAAATTTACATACAGTGAAATGCACTGCACAGTTTCATGATTTTTGATATATGTATATACCTGTGTAACCATCACTCCAAAGTGCAGGACATTTTCATCAGTTCCAGAAAATATTTCTCTGCTTTTTTCCAGTCAATTCTGGTAAAACCGTTGTTTTAATTTGGATCAAAATAGATTAATTTTGCTTCAAACAATAAAATGCTCCAATGTCCATCTTCTTTAATTTTTAATGCAACACTATAGTGACTAAAACTGCAATTTAATAAAAGAAATAAGCTTCAGAAAATAATTAAGTATTTAGAACAATTTTCATGTAAACTGCATTGTACATAACTGAGAAAAATATTTGTAGATTCTGTGTTGATTTTACTCTCTACAGTGTCAACATATATCCTTGAATAATGATGAATGTTTCATTCCTTCCTACTTTAGTTCCCCATTTAAAAGTGGTGTGTCAATGGCAAGTCGGCTTTGTAAGGCTGCAATGTTAAGTCGATTTAACCTGCTTGCCAAAGAAGCTAAAAAAGAAGATTTACTTGAAGCTAGTACATACCATGCAGCAAAGGTAAGTCCTTCAAGGAATGAAAATGATTATAGAAATCAAATTTAAGACAACAAAAATGTAATTTGATGATGATACACAGCAGAAGTTGGTTGAATAGTACCTGACTATAAAGTATTGCCATGTACTGGTAAAATTCATTTTTAAATGACTATGCCAGAAATTGGATGTGTAAATGAGTGTTGCCAGTTAAAGTAGTGACCTTAGTTGGTAGGTACATACTTTGATGATATCAGTCAAAACCTGCTTTCATATCCAGAGAAACAAAATGGTAATGAATTTTTTTCTGTAGGTGTTAACTGTGTTAACTTTAGAGGTTACGTATTTTAAAATAATACATTAAAATACCCATATAAATTAATTTTCCTATTTCAAAGTTGTGAAATAGCTTTAATTTCAGCATGTGACTTGGACCTGATTAGGTTGGTGATTCACAGAGCCTTTTTCTCTCTTTAAAAATATTCTGTTTTTAGTATTACAAATGTAACGTATAGAGAATTTGCCAATTTTTTTAAATACAAAGGAAAAATACTACTTGTAATCATTCCTACTTGTCAAATTATAATGTTCTTAATCTTTTATAAGATTAAGAGCTATTGCATGTTATAAGCACATTATTTCAGTTTTTGTCACCTGTGTCATGCATATATATATATATATGTGTGTGTGTGTGTATATATATATATATTTACATAAATTTTAAAATATTAAGTTCATACTGGATGTTTTTGAATCTGCTTTTTTCATTCGGAATAGTCTGACATGAACCATGTTATCATAATATGACATACCCATCACATTAAGTTTAATAACATCAAGTTATTAAATACAGATTGTTTCTGATGGCCTAATTCAGTTAATAATCTAGTATTGTATGAAAGTCCCTTAATTTCACCAATATCTTAATGCTCACACTATAAATCCCCACCTGTGAAACAAATTATAATAACTACAGATTTGTGGGTATGTATACACATTTTTAAGTATAAAGTCTTATCTACACAATTTTTGGGTTTGGTGGCAAGAAGAAATTGCAGATCATTTTTATAAAAGAAAGTATGAAACGGGACAAAATTCTCAAAAAACCACCTTTCACAACTCTGGGAATTGAAGACAGAAAAACAGCAGAAAGTGTATATTCTTGAAAAACTGCTAGAACTTTGGATAAGAATAACAGGAGTTTGTGGTGCCTTCACCCAGAGCTGTTCCTCTTCTTTTTCCCTCCCCTCTGCTAGCTTGAATGGCAAAACCCGTAGTTTTTACTATAGGGAGGATGCCACTGGAAGTAGTAGATTTGCTACTTAAGAGTGGACTTGATTTGGTGCAGGGGGTGAAAATTTGAGGCTTTTTCAGCTAAAAGTGACAAACCTAGTAACAAACAGATGAGAAAAATCAACAATTTTTCTGGCCCAAGATTGCAGTCCTGTTTGGGGCAAGTGATGCACCAACTAGTAACTTAATAGGTAGGCTTTGGAAATGAAAGAGTCATAGAAGAGCTGAGATAAATTCTCCATATATCCTTGGCTGAATGAGAAACTACACTTGTGCAGGGAAGATCCCAGAGAACCCAGTAAAGAGTGAAAGTGTAAAAGAGAACTGGCTATGGCATTAAATTCAGTAGTCCCTCCTTATGCATGGGGGATACTTCCAGTAACTCCAGTGGACGCCTAAAACGGCAGATAGTACTGAACCCTATATATACTGTTGTTTTCTTATACATACATACCTGTGACAAAGTGTTTTATAAATTAGGCACAATAAGAGATTAACAACAATAATATTAAATAGAACAATTATAATATACTGTAATAAAGGTTGTGTGGTCTCTTTCTCAAAATATTTTATTGTGCTGTACTCACCTTTCTTTTTCTTGTGAAATGATAAAATGCTTATGTGATGAAATGAAGTAAGGTGAATGATGTAGGCATTGTGACATAGCATGAAGGCTACTACTGACCTCCTGATACCTCAGAAGGAGGATCATCTGCTTCCGGAATGCGGTTAACTACGGGTAACTGAAACCAGGGAAAGCAAAACCATGGATAAGGTGGGGGGAACTGTGGACATAATCTCTCTCTCTCTCTCTCTCTCTCTCTCACACACACACACACACACACACACACAAATTGATCAGAAGAATGTAGATGCCTTGTAGGTTTAAGGTGTTTGAGCAGTATCAACTGAAATCATTTGTTTATCATTAAGTTATGTAGATAGAGGGTAAGCATTCAGAAGCCAGGCTAAAACACAAATATAAGAATAAAAAAACTTGGGAGAGATAGCAGCAGTTGCACACCATGGAGCAAACAGATGTCACAATTTAAGCAAGGTAAATTAAAAAAAAAACTTTAGAAAAACTAAAACTATATCCAGATTTGCTACAATATATTATTTAAAAAGTTTAAGTTTAAGCCAAAAGTTCTGGGATATGTAAAAAAAACACAAAAGTGAAACCTATACTCAGGAAAAAATAACAGTCCATAGAAACTGATTTTGTTGAGTTTAGCAAATGTTGAGTATAGCAAAGTTCAAAGTAGCTATTATAAATATGTTTGGAGAATTAATGGAAAATATAAGTGTATTAATAAATAGTCAATCTCAGTGGAGAAATAGAAATGATAAAACAACAAATAAAAATTCCAGAATTGAAATAATATGTAATAAATGAAAAATTATTTAGATAGGCTCAACAGTACATTTGAGATGACAGATAAAAATCAATAAACTTTGAAGATAATAGAAAGTTTTTTTGAAAGAATGAAAACAAATGGAAGAATGAAAAACAACATCAGAGATCTGTGGAAAAATATTAAGCTCACCAACATATGTGTATTAGGAATCTCAGAGGGAAAGAAATAAAAAGGGCTGGGAAAAATGTTTGAAGAAATAATTACTGAAAAAATCCCCAAACTGGATGAAAAACTTTAACAGATCCAGGAAACTCAGCAGACTCCCAAGAAAGGAAAAACTATTTTAAAAGATCCATGCCCTCTAAATCCAACCATAAGTCAGAGAAAGACAAATATCATATGATTTCACTCATATGTGGAATTTATGAAGCAAGACAAATGAACAAAATAAAAAGACAGACTCTTAAATATAGAGAACAAACCAATGGTTGCCAGAGAAAAGGTGGGTGGGGATGGGTCGAAAAAGTAAGGGGATTAAGATTTATCTAATGATGAACACTGAGTAATGTATAGAATTGTTGAATCACTATATTGCACACCTGAAACTAATATAACACTGTAATTGGAATTTTAAAAATAAAATTTTAAAAAAGATTCATATCTAGACGTCATATTCAGACTGCTTAAGACGAAGACAGAGAAAATCTTGAAAACCGCAAAAGAAAAAAGTTGCCAACCAAAGAGCAGTACATCTAAAGGCTGATTCCTCATTAGCAACAATGGAGGCCAACCTAAAATAACCAGAACAGTCTTGAATAAGAATAGAGTTTGACAGTTCACACTTCCTGATTTCAAAGCTTACCAGAAAGTCACAGTAATCAAGACACTGTAATACTGGCATAAGGATAAACATATAGATCAATAGGATATAATTGATAGTTGAGAAATAAATCCTGGCATTTATGGTCAGTTGATTTTTAACAAGAGCACTAAGATAATTCAGTGGGAAAAAAATCGTCTTTTTGGCAAATAGTCTTGGGACAACTTGAAATCTACATGGAAAAGAATGAACTTGGACCTCTACCTCACACTATATACAAAAATTAACTCAAAATGGATGATCTATGTAAGAGTTAAAACTACAAAACTCTTAGGAGAAAACATAGAAGAAAATATGTGTATTCTTAAGTTAGAGAAAGGTTTCTTAGATCTACCAAAAATATCCATAAGAGAAAAAATTTGTATTTTAGACTTTATTATAATAACAACTTTTGCATTTCAAGAATTATTAAGAAAATGAAAGGGCAAGCTACATACTAGCAGAAAATATTTGTGAATTATATACCTGATAAGGGACTTGTGTCTACAATATACAAAGAAGCCTTGTGACTCAATAATAGATGACTCCTCTATAAAATGACCAATTTTTATAGACATTTCTATAAAGAAGATAAACAAATGGCCAATAAGAATATGAAAAGATGTTCAGCATCATTAATCATTAGGTAAATGTAAATGAAAACCACGGTGGTTTGCTGCTTTACATATACTAGGATATATCTATAGTAAAAAAGACACTAATTAGCAAGTGTTGGCAAGGATGTGAAGAAATTGGAATCATCACACATTGCTGGTAGGAATGTAAAATGCAGCTCCTTTGGGAAATAATTTAACAGTTCCTCAAAAAGTTAAATACAGAGTTAGCATGTAGCCCAGGAATTCCCCACCTAGATATATGCGTAAGAGAATTGAAAACATATATTCACAGAAAAACGTGTATATGAATGTTCATAGCAGCAGTGTTCATAATGTACAAAAGGTGGAAACAACCCAAATGTTCATCAGCTGATGAATGGATAAACAAAATGTGGCATATCTCTTTAATAATCCATAAGCAACATGGATCAATCTTGAAAACATGATATTAAATGAAAGAAGCCAGACACAAAGGCCACAGATAATATGATTCCATTTATATGAAAATAGTCAAATTCATAGAGACAGTGGATTAGTGGGTGGGGAGGAGAGAATAAGGATTGACTACTAATGGGTATAGGATTCCTCTTTAGAGTGATGAAAAATCTCTGGAATCTGTGGTAATGGTTGTACAACTTCGTGAATGTACTGAAAGTCATTGAAACATACACTTTAAAAGAGTGAGTTTTATGATACATGAATTACATCTTAAAGCTGTTAGAAAAGAAATAATGGAGACCAGAATGCAGTGAAATGCAGTGAAAAGTGCTGAAAGAAAAACCTAGCAACCAAGAATTCTATAGAATTACAGCAAAATAATTCTTCAAAAATAAAAGCTATGGCATTTATAATTATATAACAATTGTATGTGTTAGTAACAACAGAACTCCAAAACATATAAGCAAAAGCTGACAGTATTGAAAGGTGAAATAGATAATTCTACAATTATAGTAGGAGATTTTAATATTACTGCTTTAGCAGTTGATAGAACAACTAGACAAAAATAAGACTATGTAGAAGGCTTAAATAAGAGTGCCAACCAAACTGTCCCATACAAAACACTCTACACAATGGTAGAATATATGTTCTTTTTAAGTACACATGGGACATTATCTAGTATAGGCAACAAAGCAAGTCTCAATAAGTTTAAAAGGATTAAAATCATGCAAAGTATGTTCTTACCACTTTGGAATTAAATTAGAGATCAACAATGGAATGAAATCTTAGAAGTATACATTTGAGAATTATAACAACTTCTGAATAATCCAGGAGTCAAAGAAATTATAAGGAAAGTTAAATATCTTGAACTGGATGAAAATACAACATAATAAAATGTATGGAATATAAATCAAAGAAGTGGTTAGAAATTTATAGTTTAAACACTTACATTAGAAAGGAAGAGAATTGTAAAAAAAAAATGTTATTTGAGCTTCCACCTTGAGAAATTAGAAGAAGAGCAAATTAAAAGTAGGAGGGAGGAAATAATATAGTATGGAAATCAGAGAAATAGAAAACAAAAAAACAGAAAAACTCTGAAATCAAATGTTGGTACATTGAAAAAAATTGACATTGATAATCCTTTACAGTAACTAATAAGAGAGAACACAAGTGATCAAAATTTGTAATGAAAGAAAGGTCATCACTATAGACCACAAAGAGCTAAAATAATTGTAAGGGAATATCATGAACAAACTTTTGTCAAAAAATTAGACAGATTAGATGAACACATTCCTAGAAAGACAAAAACTATAAAACTTGACTAAAGAGAATATCCAAATTGAACTAAAGAAGTTGAGTTATTAAAATTGTTTTCCTAAGAAGAGAGACAAACCAAGAAATAGACTCTTATAGAGAACAAACTGATTGTCACCAAAGGAGTTGGAGTGAGGGATGGTTAAATAGGTGGTGGGGATTAGGGAGTGCACCTGTCTCCATGAGCACTTGGTGATGTATGGAATTGTTGAATTGCTATATCGTACACCTGAAACTAATATAAAACACTGTATATTAATTGGAATTAAGATAAAAACTAAAAAAAAATTTTTTTCCCTAAAGAATAGCAGAGTGAATTCTATCAAACATATGCAAAAAAAGAAAAAAGAAAGAAAAATACAAATCCTACAAAAACTCTTTCATGAAATGGAGGAGAGAACACTCGCCAACTCCTTTTATGAGGTCACTATAACCCTGATACTGAAACTGGATAAAAACATCACAAAAAATGAAGACTACAAACCAGTATCTCTTAGGAACATAAATGCAGAATTAAGATATTGGCAGACTAAATCCAGCAACCCATAAAAAGGATTATACACAATCACAAAGGAGGTTTATTCCAGGAATGCAAGGTTGATTTAGTATCAGAAAATTATTTGATGTAATAGATTCATGTTTAAAACCCACATAATTACCTCAAAAGATGTACAATATGTATTTGACAAAATGAACAACTGATGTTCATGATAGAAACACTAAGAAATAGAAGTAAACTTCCTCAAATTAAAAACCTACCATTGACATCATGCTTAGTGGTGAATACTTTTCTCCCTACCTTCCCAAGATTATGGAAGAAAACAAGAATGTCTGCTGTCATCATTTCTGTTCCACATTATTCTGTAGGTCCTAGCAAGTGCAGCAAGTCAAGAAAAAGAAGTAAAACCCATCGAGACTGGAAGGGAGAAGAAAAACTGTTCTTACTTGTAAATGATATAATCTTGTATGTAAAATATCCTGTGGAATCTACCAAAACAAACAATTATATGATGTGTAAATTTAGTACACAGTATAAGGACAGTGTAGAAAAATAAGCTGTGTATTTTTGTACTAGGAATGAACACTCTAAAATTAAAATTGGGAGAACTGTTGGGGCGCCTGCGTGGTTAAGCGTCCGTCCAACTTTGGCTCAGGTCATGATCTCACGGTTCATGAGTTTGCGCCCCACATTGGGCTCTGTGCTGACAGCTCAGCATCTAACGCCTGCTTTGGATTCTGTGTCTCCCTCCCCTGCTCACACTCTGTCTCTCTTGGTCTCTCAAAAATAAATAAATGTTAAAAAAAATTAGAAAAAAATTAGGAAAACTGTTTCATCTAAAATAATACAAAATATACTTAGCAGTGAATTTAACAAAGTAAGTGCAAGATCTGTACACTGAGAATGATGATGTTGCTGAGAGTAATTAAAGAAGACATAATTCTGGGGCTCCAGAATTAAAAACTTGCTTTTCAAAAGTCATCATTAAGAAAATGAAAATACAAGCCATACAGTGAAAGAAAATACTGGCAAATCATACATCTGATGAAAGGTCTTGGATCTGTGATACACAATGAACTCTTTACAACTTAGTATTAACAGGGCAAACAACCCAGTTTTGTTTTGTTTTTTTTTTAATTTTGGGGGGTATTTTTTAGAGACCAAGCAGAGGAGAGTGGCAGAACGGGGGAGAGAAAGGGAGATCCTTTTTTTTTTTTTTTTTTTTAATGTTTATTATTGAAAGAGACTGCATGCAAGCAGGGGAGGGGCAGAAAGAAAGGGGTACAGAGGATCTGAAGGGGGCTCATGCTGACAGCAGCATAATGCTGGGCTCAAGCTCACAAACCTAAACTGTGAGATGGCGACCTGAGCCAAAAGTGGATGCTCAACCACCTGAGCCACCCAAGCGCCCCAGGAGGGAGACTCTTATGCAGGCTCCATGCCCAGTGCAGAGCCCAACATGGGGCTTGATCCCACAACCCTGGGATCATGACCTAGCTGAAATCAAGAATCAGATGCCCAACTGACTGAGCCACCCTGGCATTCCAACCCAGTGCATATATAGCAAAGAATATAGCCTAGTACACAGATAAAAGATGCTCAGCTTCACTTTTCTTTAGGGAGATGCAAAATTAGACCACAGTTTGATACTGTAGCACATCCACTAAAATACAAAATAAATACTAGGTATTGTTGCAGAGAAACTAGAGACCTCTTACACTGCCAATGAGAATGTAAAATAGTACAGTCACACTGGAAAACATTTTGACTGTTTGTTGCAAAGGTAGACTTACAGTTAACCATGTGATCCAGCACTTCCACTAGTATCTGTCCAGGAGAAACAAAAACTTACACCCACATAAGACTTGTACATAAATGTTTACAGCAGCATTATTCATGATAGGCAAAAACTGGAAACATTCAAATGTTTATCAGCTTGTGAATGCATATACAATATGATAAACCCATATTATGGAATCCTAATCAGCAATAAAACAGAACCAACTGTAAATACATGAAACAACATGAATTAATCTGAAAACATGGTAACTGAAAGAAGCGTGACACAAAAGAGTTCATATTGTGTTAATTAAGTTTTATGAAATTTCTAGAAAAACCAAAACTTTAAATACAAACTAGATAGATTCATGGTTGGCTGGCGCTGGGAATACAGATTGACTGCAAATGAGCACAGTGGAACTTTTCGCAGATGATGGGATTGTTTTACCACTGGACTATAAGATGGTTGCATGCCTGTATAAATTTACAAAAAATCATCATAACTGTATACTTGCAGTGACTCCATTTATGGTATGTAAATTATACTTCAGTAAAGCTTTTTTAAAAGTTCATCAATATGTTCATTTATAAAAAGTTAAAGGAAATAAACCAAAATAATAATGGTGGTTATCTATAGTTTGGGGAATACAGGTGGTTTTTATTTTCTTTTTAATATTTTCTCTACTTTTCAAGTTTTCTGTAATGAGTATGATTATTTTAATAAAAATGTTTAAAAGATGTCTTTAAGGAGTGTTGGAAAGGAAAATGTTTAGTTTCAAAAATAACGAGAAAAATAGGAATGCAAAAACATTTTCAGTAGTTTTTAAAATGTCAAAGAAACAAGATTAGGGCTACTTTTCATAAGCCAAATTCTGCCTATATCCTATAATTCAATTTTTTTTCTTTCTATAGTGTATGTCTGGATCCTATCAAGAAGCTAAAACTCTGTTGAAATCCTACTTGCAGCAACATGGCTATGGCTCCTGGATTGTGAAATCTCCCTGTATAGAGCAATTTAGTATGTGATTTAGGCAATCCATTGTCATATTAAAAATCTTTTATTTTTTGGTGTCTTTGACTAGTAAAAATATTTAAAAATTTTTGGTGGATTTCAGCTTTCAAAACCAGAGTCTTTGCAAAAGCAATGTCCAGAGATTGCTTGAAAATAATAATTTACATGAAAGCATTGGGGTTCTTAACTTTTTTTTTAATTTTGGAAAAATTACTACCTGATTAATTATGTAGCCATTTTGTATTTATTTTCACAGGCATTATAAGGCCATTACCCTTTTCATAGTTTAAAAGAAAATTCTATTTCTTTTAAGTTTTTGTTTTAAAGTTATCCATGTAGCAAATATATTCAACATTGTGACCTGGTATTTCACTCCTGTTGTTTCTTTTTCAATTAAAAATTAGAATACAGGAATACAAATAATAGTCCTTGCTCATTTGTTGATTAATTCAACAAACATTTGAGTGCCTAATATTTGCTAATCACCATGCTTGTGTAATAGTAAAAATCAGTAACTATCATTCCTCACATCAAAGAAGTTTATGAATGTAAACTGCACATATACATGCAGAAAATGTTAAGCATGTTAGAGAATAGTTTCATAAGTTAGTTATTCTGATTAATAGTATCATCATAAATACTTTAAAGAGTGCCCATTTTCCAGCATTCTGTAATTCCATCCAAATGTGATTTAATACTTTGTAATTTAGATAAGTAGGGATTTCTGATAATCAACCAAAGATTATTTAGCTTTACATTTATATTTGTTTATAATATGATTGGATCAAAAGGAAAAGTTTAGTTACCACCTGAGTTAGGATATCTGTCGTTAGTGAAATTGTGAGTTTGTTCTATAGTTCAACCTATTTCTTAGTTTCAGTCACAGATGAATTAAACATTATTGGTTCTCACACTCTTTTCCTCCTAGCTTGGATCTTTATAATCTCTGATGAGGTTGATAATGGTTTTTTTAAATTTGTTTTATCTATTCTAAAAATATCTTTTCAAGATTGCAGTTGATACCAGTAATTGTCATTCTTTGTTCAGAGATAGAAGCTTGATCGAAAAGACTCTAAACTGCCCTACATCAAAAGCAGCAATGCTTATTGCCTCTTTTATGTACTCTGTGTTATGATTATATAAGATACTTTGCTTGAAGAAAATCAGACTTCTAAATCCAAACTTATAAACTTCAATTTTAAAAATTCTTCAAAAACTACTAAACTAGTTGCATCTAAGTCCTCTTATAGCTCTAAGGTTCTGTTATCTGAGATAAACATTAAAGGATAGATAAAAGTGAGAAGGCTGAAATGGAAGAGAGAATATATTCCAGTTGGAAATAATAAAACAAAGATTAGATGGGAAATGTTACAGTGTTTGCGCCTAGAGAATAGAACACTGGATGGAAAGTTGAGGGCTGAGTCTAGCAGATGTTCTGATTTGGGTAGACAGAAGGGAACCCTTGAAGGGTTTTGTGTAGGGAAGTGACATACATTAAGACACCATCCACAACATTTTTATGTTCACTTACTATGGAAATTTCTAAACATACGAAAATAGAATAGTAAGTGACTCCCATGTACCCATCACCCAGCTTCAATAATTATTAAAACATAGCAATCTTCTTTCATATATACTTCCCCAAGCTGGATTATGTTAGAACAAATACCAGACATATTATTTCTTTTTTTTTTAAGTTTTAAATTACAGTTAACATACAGTGTAATATATTACATACAGTGTAATATAGTTTCAGGTGTACAACATAGTGAATTCATCACTTCCATATATCACCTGGCGCTCATCACAGCAAGTGCATTCCTTAATCCTTATCATCTATTTAACCACTCCCTTCTCCCCCCACCCATAACCATCAGTTTGTTCTCTAGTAAGAGGCTGTTTCTTGGTTTCTCTCTCTCATCTGAAAATACTTTCATGCACATCTGTGGAAATATGAGAACTCTTTAATACACACATATGTGTATAACCACAATCCATTTAGCAACACCTTAAAAATTAGTAGTAGTTCTCTAAATATCTCCTAAGTGTTATAGATTGTTGGAATCAAGATCAAAATTACATTATATTGGAATTTGTGTGTTAAATGTCAATCTATAGATTTTCTCTCACTTTTTTTTCTTTTAATTTAGTCCTTGAAGAAACTGTTTTTAGTGGAGTTTGCCATAATCTCATTTTTGCTACTTACATCTCCACGATGTTATTTAATGTGTTCCTCTGTCTTATTTATTTACTGAAATCAATGGTTAAATCTAGAGGCTTTCAAATAGAGGTTTGTCTTTTTTGTTTTGTTTTGTTTGTTTTTTTGTTTTAGCAACACCACTACATAAGTAGTACTTACGAAGTAGTACATATGAAGTAGTACTTCATCACACGACACAATGTCTGGGTTCTTTTATTTTTGTGATATTAGCAGTCAGTGATCATTGCCTTATTTTGTTAGGGGTTGCAGAGTTTGATAATCACATTCTCTCATTAGCTGGAATGTTATTAAATGTTTGCTTATAAATGGTCTGATTACCTGTGGTGTACTTGATAAAAAAGCCTGGATTATTTCTGTCTTTATGTTTTTCAAATAGCAGGTTCCCTGTCATTTTTTAAAGTTCACCAATGAGAATTTTTTTCATTATCATTATGAATTTACATATTTGGGTTTCAGTCCTTAAAATTCATATTGATATTATTCTCTTGCGTTAGTAGAAGCCTATTCTAGGGGTACCTGGGAGGCTCAGTCAGTTGAGCATCCGACTTCAGCTCAGGTCATGATCTCATGGTTTATGGGTTTGAGCCCCGCATTGGGCTCTGTACTGACTGCTCAGAGCCTGGAGCCTGCTTCGGATGCTGTGCCTCCCTCTCTCTCTGCCCCTCCCCCGTTCACGCTTTGCGTGTCTCTCTCTCTGTCTCTCTCTGTCTCTCTCTCTCTCTCTCTGTCTCTCAAAAATAAATAAAAGTGTTTAAAAGAATTTCTTAAAAATAAGCCTATTCTAAACCTCTCAGTGGTTTTCTTCTAATTGATATTTCTAATGCTCTTTTAAGTAATATCATTTTGTATATTTTATTTTCTATTTGTTGCTGATATATAGACATAAAACTAGTTTTTTTTTTTTTTTTTTTTTATGTTGGCCTTCTATCCAGTACCCTTGCTAAATTAATTCTAATTGTTTAGAGCTTTTGGATTTTCTTCATACACAGTTGTGTCATATGTGAATAATGACAGATGTATTTCTTCTGTCCCAGTCTTTAACTTCAAATGTCTTTTTCTTGCTTTTTTGTACTGGTTGTAATTTCCTAGTACAATGTGAACAGAAGTAATGAGCAGTGTCCTTGTCTCATGTGAGAACCTTGTCATGTTTGTGCCTTTGTCTTCTGATCATGATCCCAATAGTCTTTGTGAGCTTCTGTTAGAACAGAATGTTCTTGCCCCATCTTGTGCATTTGTTGCCCCATACTTGGAAATGGCCATTTCTCTCTTAAAGAGCTCTATTTCCTTTTAGTAGAAAGTGGTTAGAAATTATAATCTGGATGCTAAGGGTACCTATTAATACTGAGGTTTTTATCCCTCAAGGTCTTTTCAGAGAAAAATACCTTAGAAATATGTACATTAAGGTAAAATAATATGTTTATTCGTTCCTATTGATTATTTTATTTCAAATTCAGGTCCACAGAGTTTTTTTAATCAACCTCTTAAATCTTACATTTGTATCTCCTTCCTCTCACACCAAAATCCTGATTCCTACTGATAGCAATATAACTTCTTATTCACTTTTTTCTACAACTCATACATAGTAGTCTCAGAATAACAATACCATCACTACCATCAATAGAATGATTGCTGAAAACAAATTTTTTTGATGTTATTTATTTTTGAGAGAGCACAAGCAGGGGAGGGTCGGAGAAAGAGGGAGACACAGAATATGAAGCAGGCTCCAGGCTCTGAGCTGTCAGCACAGAGCTCCATGCAGGGCTTGAACCCACGAACTGCAAGATCATGACCTGAGCCAAAGCTGGACGCTTAACCAACTGAGCCACCCAGGTGCCCCTGATTGCTGAAAACAATTTAAAATTGTTTTTGTCCTCCGGACGTATTCTACCAGATATGTACAACCAGTTTGAACTTCTTTATGTGAGTTGTGCCTCCAGCCTATGACACACTTCAAATTATTCATTTAATTTAGCTCTTGATATTTAAAATTGAGATTTAAAAAATTATTATATAAAAATATAACAAATCTGTAATACATGGTATATGCAGAAACGTCTAGCATTTATCCCTGTTCCTTCCTGAGAGTGTGTGTGCATGTGTATGCCCTCTGTCTTTATATAAATACACATAAGTATAATAGATGTGTACACATATATACATGTACATACATATATACACATATATATATAATTATTAGGTTTTTCATTTATCCTTTATTTTCAATGCAATCACATACCTGCATAAACATATGGATAGACATTTGGGTTGTTTTCTATTCTTTTGCTATTATAACGTGTATTGTAGTGGCAGGTTTTTTAGGTTGTTCAGAATAGAAGAGCCTAAAAGGTCAGGAGGCCATGACAGTAGCCTAATAAGTAATAATGATCCTAGTCAGGGTTGTGACTGGTTATTAAGGGGAAGACAAATTCAAGCAATGGTGGGGAAATAGGACCAAAAAATAGAATATATATGACAAAGGAGATAGACAAGTTGAAAATGATACCATGGGTTTGAGCTAGAAACTGGAAGTACTATAAATGTAAGTAGAGTCAAGAATGGAATCTTGAGAAAGTTTTGGAGTAAAGGTAAAAAACTAGGAATCACTTTCAAAGAGGCAGTTTTCAAATTGTGAGAAAAGGTGTTTGCCTCTTTTTGAGGAGTATAAAAAATATATTAGGACTAGATCCCCAAGGAACACTTATATTTTGCATTAGGAAAAATAAGAGGAAGCAATATTTGGAGTTGTTTGACAGGTGGGTGAAGAGTAGGGTTGGCAGAAAGAGGAATTTCAAAGAATAGAATAAGCATTCTCAAGTGTTCTACAGGTCAAGGAGAATAAGAACTACAAAAATACTGCTGAATTGGCAACCAGGAGTCTACAGATGACTAAAATAGCATTTCCCCAAACTGATTGCTCACAAGGGATATCACTGAAGGGTACTCTGATTGAGCAGATCTGGGAAAAGCCCCCAAATCTGTATTTTAACAAGTTACTGCAGATGATTTGATGTGGGTAGTACTTTGACCACACAAAACACCACCCTGTAAAGTAATAAAAATTTGCTGGTAGCGGAAGGATTGACCACAATTAAGTAAATGAGAGATGCGGATTTGGAGTCAGTGACTGAATTCCATTTTTTCTAGAAGCTTAATGGAGGGCCTAATATAGCTGTGGTTGGTTTTTTGTTTGTTTGTTTGTTTGCTTATAAGATGAGGGAGACTTCATCAATGTGCATGAATTTTTAGTGGAGCCAGCTAATGTGATGTTTATGACTTGTTTTAGGGAATATTTGGCAGTCAGGTCAGATAATTGGCCTAGTTGGAGTCAGATCAACTCTCCCTAGGGAATTTTGGGTGCTATGAATGAAATGGCTCAAGCCAAAATGGGGAAAATAAACTGTGAGTAAATAGGATTAAGTAGAAGTGAAGCAGTTTCACTGAGAGGGAAAATATGAGATGACAGGGGATTGTGTTCAGGGTATTTTCAAAGTTGAAATTCTTAGATATTTAACTCTGGCCTGTATTTTGTCAGGTTCCCTTCACCTTCAGTCTAACCCAGTTATTAGGAGAAATAATACAATAGTTGAAATCTAGTTGAAAAGATGTCTTATGAATGGAAATTTAGTGTTCATTATATTCAGTCTTTGAGGGATCTATCTGCATGGTGCCAGGGACAGCTGGAGCCCAGGACAGTCAATTCTGACCTTTGGCAGCCTATTATTTACCCGCATGTTCAGGAATGCCGTTTTCTTATCTGTGCCACGATGTGACAAAGGTTAGAAAACAATATTCCAAACCTTTTAATAAAAAAAAAAATGTAGTGGTGATGATCATATATTCAGGCAGTACCTATAGAGTTGGAAAGGACATTTAATTATATCTGTGTTAGAGTTTCTTGGTTGGTTGGTACTTTTAGATAAATATATTTCATTTTGCACATAAGGTGAAGTGAGATGACTGAGCACTATTTTAAGGAAGCCTTAGATGAAACTTGTGAAAAATAATTTGAGTACAATATGTATATTAAATATGTACAAATACTTTGAAAATATTGATGGGGACTGGATATGAATGTTGTCAAGCTTCAGTAACAACAGTTAATGAAGAATCACTGTTAACTTTGAAATGCAAGTTTTTATTTTTTTGAAAATGAGCTCTAATTGATGGTTCCTAGATAAAGAGAATTGTTCTTTGATGTGAGAAGGGAAAAAGAATATTGTTAAGTAAACAGGAAGCATGAGAATTTCCTCTTTAGAAATCTTTTGATCCTGACACCATCCTATAAATTGACTTGAAATACAACTTATTCTGTCACTTCTTGTGTTACAATAAATGTCAAAAATATCTGATTTTCTTTAGTTTAATAGTTTTAGTACTACTAAAGGAACATCATTACTACCAAAACAGGATTTGTTTTTGGAAATAACATGTTTCTCTTTAAAATTCTGCTGAGCCTGAATTGCCTTTCTTTACCAGTATTTTAAGTATGGATTGTTTTCTGTTTTCATAGAAGCTGTAATTTTTATTTGTTACATGATCGTAGAGGTAAAAAGGTATGCTAATCCTAGTAGGCTGGTGTTATCATTTAAAAGTTTAAAATGAAGTATTTCCTGGGAATTATAGTTTTATCTACATATATTGTATTTGTCAAAGTTTTGCTTTGAACTTTGACTATAATATAGAGGAAATTCACTATTGTAGAAACTTTCTAAAATGTTATTTGTTTGGATTGATGACGTGGTAAGATAATTAAGCTACATCTGTGGGTGCTTTTCCAAAATTTTAGTGATTTTAAAGTTTTTTCTATCCACTCTTTTTGAGTTGTTCCGTTGATAGAAAAATATTTACAGTACAGTTTTGTATCATTTTCAAATTAAATTTTGAATATCTAAGCTCTGAGACTGTCAAACTTTACTATATTTGAGAATTGACAAATATGATGGTGACATTGTCTGCAGAGTTCATAGGAAAATCCATGATTTTGCTTTTTGGAGTCCACCGTAATCATCAGTTTATTCACTGCTCCCTACTTCTTTAATAATATCCTGGTTTTTAGCCAATTAGAATAATTCTGTGTGTGTGGTTTTTTTTTAAAGTATAATCTGTCTTTCCTGCTCTATTGTCATACTCTCTTCTCGCAACTCTATGAGACCAATATTTCCAGTTCATCTTACATGTAACAACTTTTTTTTTTTTAATTTTTTTTTCAACGTTTATTTATTTTTGGGACAGAGAGAGACAGAGCATGAACGGGGGAAGGGCAGAGAGAGAGAGGGAGACACAGAATCGGAAACAGGCTCCAGGCTCTGAGCCATCAGCCCAGAGCCCGACACGGGGCTCGAACTCACGCACCGCGAGATCATGACCTGGCTGAAGTCGGACGCTTAACCGACTGCGCCACCCAGGCGCCCCTGTAACAACTTTTTATAGCAGTCTCTTTTAAATTGATAACAATATAAGTTTGAATGCATTCTGAGGCTCTACATTTTTACTCCCCACCCCATATTTTATGTCTTTGATGTCACAACTTACATCTTTTCTTCTTGTTTAGCCCTTAATTATTGGAGTTAGCAGTTATTTTTACTACTTTTGTCTTCATATTATCTTTAAAACTGATCCACTACCTTTATTATACATTTACCTTTACCAGTGAGATTTATACTTTCATATCCTGTTACTAATTAGTGTCCTTTCATTTCAGCTTTAACAAATCCCTTTAACCTTTCTTATAAGATGTTTAGTGGTGATGAATTCCTTTAGCTTTTGCTTATCTGGAAAACTCTTGATCTCTCCTTCAATTCTGAAGAACAATTTGCCAGGCAGGGTATTTTTGGTAGACAGGTTGGGTTTTTTTGTTTTTTGTGTTTTTTTTTCTTTGAGCACCTGGACTGTATCATGCTACTCTCTTCTGACCTCTCGAATTTCTGCTGAAAAATCTGCTGATAATCTTATGGGTGTTTCCTTGTACATAACAAGTTGTTTTTCTCCTGCTGCTTTTAAGATTCCCCCACTGCCTTTAAGTTTTGACATTTTAATTATAACATGTCTTCATGTGGGTCTCTTTTGGTTCATCTTAGCTGGAACTCCTTGGGCTTCTTGGATCTGGATGTCTGTTTCTTTCCCGAGGTTAGGGAAGTTTGCAACCATTATTCTTCAAATGAGTTTTCTTCTCCTTCTGGAGCTCCTTCAATACAAATATTGGTCTGCTTAATACTGTTCCATAAGTCTCAAGCTGTCTTCATCTTTTTTACTTTTTTCTTTTTCTTGCTCTCATTGGGTGAGTTCCACTGCCCTGTGTTCAAGTTCACTGATGGTTTCTTCTGCTTCATCTAGTCTGTATTGAGCCCCTCTGTTGTAATTTTTAATTCACTTATTGTAGTCTTCAGTTCTCTGACTTCTTTTTGGTATTTTCTTACATTTTTCTGCTTATTTCTTAAAACTCCCACTTTGTTTATGCATTCTTCTCCTGAGATCAGTAAGCTTCTTCATGCCCATTGCTTTGTACTTTATCTGGTAAATAACTTATCCCCATTTCATTAAGGACTTTTTGGGTTTTATTTTGTGCTTTCATTTAAAACATATTCCTTTGTTTCTTCATTTTCCTTGACTCTGTGGTTGATTTCTATGTGTTAGTTTTAAAACAGCTACCAGTGTGGTAGGAATGGCCTCAAGTGGAAGATGAACCTTACTGTTTAGCCTTGCCTTAGTTCTTGTTATCTCTTAAGTTTTGGTTATTGTTCAAGCAGTCTATTTGATTTTTTTTTAAGTTTTTATTTAGAACCCAGTTATTATATATAATACACACACACACACACACACACACACACACACACACACACACAGTATACTGTATTATAGTATAGTACTGAAAGTCTATTTTATTTTTATTAGCTCCCAATAACTGAGGGTGTGCTAAGACCTCTCAGTGTCCCAGAGGGGAGGATGTCAGTCAGGTCTGACTGGAAGCCAGTCCCTCAGGCAGCAGCTTTTAAAGTTTGCATGCTTGGGGCACCTGGGTGGCTCAGTCGGTAAAGCGTCCGACTTCAGCTCAGGTCATAATCTCGTGGTTCGTGGGTTCAAGCTCCCTTTGGGCTCTGTCTGACAGCTCAGAGCCTGGAGCCTGCTTTCGATTCTGTGTCTCCCTGTCTCTCTACCCCTTCCCCGTTCGTGCTCTGTGTGTCTCTCTCAAAAATAAACATTAAAAAAAAATTAAAGTATGCATGCTTATGAGCAGCCATCATAAAAATTGGGGCTCCAGACAAGTGTATAAGCTCCTTTCAGGGAGATACTCGTGACCTGAAGTAAAGGAATGGGAGACTGCAAAGATGGTGTCCCCCAACCTGTGCTCCCTGAGTGACCTCTGTAGTTTCTAGATATATACCAAACCTGAAGCTGCTACTAAGGCTGAAACTCCAAGACTAGCCAGTAGGCCTCTTTCACAGAAAGCTTGGAGGTAGAATTTAGTCTACTATCTGTGTAGTGCCCTGGGAGTGGTAGCCTCCCAAGAACTCTTTCCCTGATTGTTATAGTCCCAGAGGACCCAGGAATGCAAATTCTCCCTAACCCCCACTGGCCACCAGAGTCAGGTGAGCAAGGAGCGGCATCTCCTGGGTAGAAGCCACAAAAACTGCTACCAGATATAAATATCAGGAAAGCAGATGTATAGAAGCTCCCCTCCAGCAGACCCTGGCAACCTGGAGGGTCGTAGAGGGAGAACACAAAGATGGCACCCTCTGGCTGGAGTGAGGCAGAAAGGGAGTACAAAGATGATGGTCACTGCAGAGAAAACAAGAAAAAGAAGAAGAAGGAAAAAAGATGATACTCATTGCCTTTAGCAAGGCAGTGGGAGGGCAGGAAGATGACACCCACTAGCCTCTGTCTTTAAGAGTATTGCAGCAGGCCCCTGGCCCTCAGACCAATGCGTTAAAATTAAGAAATAAGTCTTCTTTCACATAAAATCTGGGAACGTTTCAAAAGGTTGCTTCTGTGCTGGGCCTGGGAGCAGCTGAAGGTGTGCATGAGCCCTTTAAAACCGTTCCTCATTTGGCCACTGGCCCCACATGTCTCACGGGCAAGAGTCCTATTGGTCTTTAAAGCCAGACATTTTGGGGGCTTGTCTCTCATATGCTGATCTTAAAAGTTGGGGTGCCTGATAATGGCGTATAGACTCTCTGCTCCTTGGGGAGAAGCTCTAGGTTTTGGGTTCCCTTCCAGTTGTGAGTCACTGTGCTGGGAATGGGGTAATGGTGAGATTGTGTCTCAGCTTTTCCCTACTTTTATATGGTTTCCCTCCCACTTGCCCAATGTGAGGGAATTGACCTGCCAATCTTTAGTTTTTTTCCAGAGAAAATTATTCTATACATATATTTGTAGGCTCAGTGTATCTGTAGGAAGAAGTGAATTAAGGATCTGTGTTGCTGTATTGAACTCGGAACTCTCCAATCTTTTTATCCAAATTCTTCCCATTTTTAGCTATAGCTTATAACAGTTATATAAATATAACTGCCCATGAAATTTTTCTGAAACCTTTTAGTTTTAAATATCTCTGTCTCTAACTCTTATATATCCTATCCCTATCTTATTACATTTATTTATACATATTTACTGCTAAATAGTAAATATATTCAATTTTTACTCATTGCCTCCTGGACAATGACTTTTATGTAGTAATTTGTTTATAAATATTTATTTATTGAAAACTATAATCAATTTTTAAAAAATTTTTCCCAAGAATGAAAGGTATAGCTATCCTCATGTCTAGCAGCAATGAAATTTACTACTACAGATATTTGGAGCATTTCTGGTCCCCTTATATATATATTCTTATAGATGAATTGTCTTGTTTGATCATTTACTGCTAGAATTTAATGACTGCACCTCCTGTATAACTGCATTTACCAACATAACTTTTATTTTTAAAAACCAAGAATTTTTTTTAATTCGGGTATATGACACCAGCTTTAATGTTTGTTTTTTCAATTTTTTTAATTTTTTTTTTTTTTTTTTTTGAGAGAGAGAGAGAGAGAGCATGAGTGAGAGAGAGAGAGGTGGAGACACAGAATCCGAAGCAGGCTCCAGACTCCAAGCTATCAGCACAGAGCCTGGTGCGGGGCTCAAACTCAGGAGCAGTGAGATCATGACTTGAGCTGAAGTCGGACGCTTAACCGACTGAGCCACCCAGGTGCCCCTAATGTATTTGTTTTTAAATAAAGGAATTATATTTCCTCTCATAATTTTAAAACTTCTTTTTTGAAATAATTATAGGCTCCTCAGAAGTTAGTTGCAAAATTAATACAGAAGGATCTGTGTACCCATTACCCACTTTCCTTTAATGGTGTATTTAAATAACTATAGAGCATTATCAAAACCAGGAAATTAACATAGGCACAATACAATTAACTAGACCACAGAGTTTACTCAGATACCATCGGTTTTTATATATACTCCTTTTTCATGTGTATAGTTTTATGAAATATTTTCATATGTATATATGAATAAATATGACCACAAAAGACCAAATTTACATCCCACAAAAGAACTCCCTCAGACTTTATAGCAAGCCTTCTCCCCCAAACTCTGACAACCTTTGTTTCTTCAATATATATATTTGTTTCTCTCTATATATAATGTTTTCATTTTGAGAATATTATAAGAATGGAATCCTATAGTATAATGTTAGGAAATTGGCTTTTTTCACTCATGATGATGACCTTGAGATCAATTTTACCGCTTTAATCTTTTTTAGGTGTACAATTTAATGGTACTAAGTACACTCACAGTGCTGTGCAACCATCACCATTATTCATATCTGGAACTTTTTAAATCATCCCAAACAGAAGTTTTGTACCCATTAAACAATAACTCCCTACTCCCTCCTTCCCCCAACCCCCAGGTGAGCACTAATCTATTTTCTGTCTTTATGAGTTTGCCAGTTCTAGGTACCTCATATAAGTGGAATCATACAATATTTGTCCTTCTGTGTTTGGCTTATTTCACATAGTGTTTTCAGGATTTGTTTATGCTGTTGCAAGTATCAGCATTTCCTGTTTCAGCCTGAATAATATTTCACTGGATATACTGCATTTTTTGTTTTTTTTCTGTCTGTGGCTTGCTTCCGTATTTGGGCTATTGTAGATCATGCTGCTATAAACATTAATGTGTAAGTGTGTTTGAGTCTCTGCCTTCAGTTCTTTTGTGCATATACCTAAAAGTGGGCTTCTTGATCAAATGGTAATTCTGTGTTTAACTTTTTAGGAACTACCACTGTTTTCCACAGTGGCTGCACCATTTTGCTTTCTCACAAGCAGTGAACTGGGGTGTCAATTTTTCCACATTCTTGTCAACACTTGCAATTTTTTTTTTCTTTTTGACATAGTGTTCAAAGACATTCTTAAAAATTTGTCTATTCAGTTGACCTGGCAGTATTTATTGAAAAGACTATTCTTTCCTCACTGAATTATGGTTGCACATCTCATGTAATGTTATATATGTTGGTCTTTTTCTTCTCCACTGCTCTGTCCTTAAATCAGTGCTACACTCTCTTATTTACTAAGTAGCTTTTTAATGTTTTGATATTTGGTAATGTGAGCCTTCCAGCTTTGTTTTTCTTCAATACTGTCTTGGTTATTTTATTTTTTATTGTGTATTTTTATAAATTTTAATTATAAAATCAGGGGATTATCTGTTTGATGCTGGCATATAAAAACATAATTGAATTTTTGCATGTTAACCTTATTATTAGTAATTTTACTACGTTCATCCATTAACTCTAATAATTTGTAGTTGCAGATTCTCTTGGATATTCTATTTATACAATCACATCTATGAGAAATGATAATTTTAGTTCTTCCTTTCTAGTACTTCTTTTTCTTGTCTTATTAAATTTGTTAGAACCTCTACTACACTACTGAATAGAAATGGTGATACCCATCCTTGTCTTAGTCTCAAACTTAGAAGGAGAGTTTTCCATATTTCATCATTAACATATTAGCTATGGTTTTTGTGACAAAGATACTCAGATTAAGAAAATCCCCTTCTAGTCTTAGTTTCCTGACTACCATTAATTTTTATTTCAGTTTTCTTAAATGATATTTATACATCAATTTAACTGATACATGTAGTCTATCTAAGTTTTATTTAAATTCCACTTAGTTAACATATAGTGTAATATTAGTTTCAGGAGTAGAACTTAGTGATTCATCACTTACATGTAACACCCATTGCTCATCACAACTAGTGCCCTTCTTAAATATCCATAACCCATTTAACCCATCCCCCTTCCCACCTCCTCTTCCCACCTCCCCTCCAGAAACCCTCAGTTTGTTCTCTATAAGTAAGAGAACTGTTTTATGGTTTTGCTTCTCTTTTTCCCCCCATGTTCATCTTTTTTTGTTTCTTAAATTCCATATATGAGTGCAATCATATGGTATTTGTCTTTCTCTGACTAACTTATTTTCCTTAGCATAATACACTCTAGCTCCATCCATGTCATTCTCTTATTTCAGACAATGTTGAATTTGATTCTGGAATGGAAGTAACTTGTGGATTATTTGAGTCTTTCAAGACTTGCTTTTTAAAAATTTTTTTTAAATGTTTATTTATTTTTGAGAGAGACAGTGTGTGAGCAGGGGAGGGGCAGAAAGAGAGGGAATCTGAAGCAGGCTCCAGGCTCTGAGCTGTCAGCATAGAGCCGGATGTGGGGCTTGAACTCAACAAACCATAAGATCAAACCATGACCTCAGCTGAAGTCAGATGCTTAACCAACTGAGTCACCCAGGTGCCCCTTTCAAGACTTGCTTTTAAGCTTCGTTAGGGCATGTCTTGAGTGGTCTTTACAGTAAGCCTGAATTGGTCCAACCTCTAATGCAGTCTTTTTAGTGTTTCTATGAAATTTCCAGAGGATTCAGCTTCTTAGAATTTGAGCATCTTCTAATCTTACACAAACTTCAGTGGCTGTTTAGACTACAATTTTTAAGGATACATACTTTCCCTCTTAGTTGTTCTTTGTCCAGCCTCGCAGAATCACACACCTAAATAGCCACAGCTTATTATTCAGTTTGCGAGTTGGAGCACCTCATCGGGCTCTGTGCTGAGAGCTCAGAGCCTGGAGCCTCCTTAGGATTCTGTGTCTCCCTCTCCCTCTGCCCCTGCCCCTCTCATGCTCTCTTTCTCTCTCGAATATAAACATTAAAAAATAATAATAAAGAATAAAAATGTGTATTTATTTTGGTTGGGGGGTGGGGCAGAGAGAGACAGAGTAGGCTCAATGCTGCCAGCACAAGATCCTGGCACAGGGTTCTGTCTCCCAAATTGTGAGATCATGCTGAGCCAAAATCAACAGTCTGATGCTTAACCAACTGAGCCACCCAGGCACCCCTTCATTCTTTACTTTTAATCCTTCCTTGTCTATTTAAAGTATATTTTATATAAACAATGTAATATTTATTTAAAATATTTAATTCGAGTTTTTATTTTTATTTAATGAGATTATTGTGATGGCGTTTGGTTGAAGTCTCTCTTCTTGCTATTTATTTTGTCTCATTTGTTCTTTCTTTCTTTAGTTTCCCTTTGTCCTTCATTTCTTACCTTTTTTTTTTTAGGTTAAATGTTTCTAATATTTTGTTTCCTGCTATATTACTTTTTAGTTATACTGTTCTTTTAGAGGTTACTTATAATATGAAAATTTGACACATGTCAAAAGCTGAGAAATAACAGAAATAAAACTATAAATCACCAAAGTAGTAATAAATATATTTTGCACACATCAGAAAGACAGTTTGCAAACTGGAAACACTCAAGCAAAACAAACCAAAACATGGAATGAGGCTTAGGGGTGTATTGTTATAAATCACTTTGGGTATTTTTTTATTGGCCTGTCTTTGGATCACTAATCCAGTCTTATGCTATGTCTAGTATGCTGATATACACATCTACTAATTTCTTAACTTCAGATACTATATTTCTCAGTTGTAGAATGTTTCACTCGATTTTTTCAAACAGATTTCAGTTCTTTGCAGAAATCTATATTTTCATCTATATGTGCCAAATTCTTTTCTTAAACATATTAGTTACTTTAAATAACTTCTAACTATCTGAATTCTGTGTTGGAGATTTTTTTTTTTACTGGTTTTGCCTCTTAATTTTGAGTATGTGTGTGTGTTAGCAGGTATGCCTCATAATTTTTTAAGTAATGCCACATGTAAGTGAAATATTATAGAGAGTCTGGATGATAATATCTTTAAAATTTTCTTCAGGGAGGCAAGTAGGATCTGGCAGATGCTTTTGATCCTTTTGAAGTTTGGTTTTAGGCTTTATTAGAGCTGTTATATTTTAGATTCGTCCTCATTTCAAGGCTTGTTTACTTAGAACATTGTACCTTCTTTTTTCTCATCTTAAATCCTTACTTACATGCTTACTAGACCTTTTCCCCGTGGCAGAGCTTAAACTCCAACCTGTGTCTCCTCAGCACAACACAGCTCTCTACACAGCTCATTTGCCTCCTACATGTTCTTTTCTGCCATTTTTTAGTGGTCAAGTGGTTGTTTGTGCATGTGCAGCTGATGGATCAGCCATTGGAAAGAATTTGTATTTGGCTGTAGTGGCTCCTTATCCACAGTTGCCTTTGCTCTCAAATCCCATCTACTTTGACAACCCTGAATTCCTACTTTTATTTCCTTGTGGAACTACCATTTGAATTCCATTTCTCTGTGCCATAATTTGAAACATACCCTCAGATAAAAATCCAGGATGTCTCCTGTGTACATTCTTTCTCTTAAGGAATGTAATCTGTAAGACCTGCCTGTATTGGTTGCTGTCCTCACATAGAGAAACTGCTACCACGCTTAGGCCTGAGGGAGGAGGAGTCAATAGATTACTAAAACTTAAGGACAGGATCATAAAGGACCACTTTGAGAGGAGAATGACCTTTGGTCTAGTGATGTAGCCATCCTGAGGTGATCCTTCATCCAGCTCTTACCAGGGATCCCCTTTGGCCAAACTCAACTAGAAACCATAAAGCAAGAAAATGTAGCCTACACAAGCCAGCTTAGGAGAGTGGGAAGAGATGTAGAGTTGTCAAGAGGAAAATGGAAGATATCTGGCACAGTTTACCTCTTTATTCTTCAACATGTACTCTCTTCATTTGGGAGAAAAGTGTCCCAAGCAAAGGGGACACATGAAGTTCTATCAATTCTGATAGCATTGTGAATATCAATTCAGGAATACTTTTCCTGAAATTACAATGGTGGACACCACCAGTATTTTTCACATGAAGAAAGTGAGACTATGTGAAGTCTTATTTCACATGATGTGGGACAAGAAGAGAGAAAAACAGGTAAAATAAATGTACTTGAGTCTCTGCTCAATAGCTAGTCATGAGAGTTAATAATCATAGTTACCTTCTTCCAATATTCTTTGCATATTCTTCTTTACCCTCTGCCATTACTTTGGCTGAAATTCTTTACCTAGTGATGGACTATAAATCTCAATTCTGGGGAATCTGAGTCTTTGGTATTCTTGAATTTGGGGGATTGGTACAGTTTTCCATTGACCAGTACTATTGGAAAGAGTCCAAAAAAATGCCCTGCTGGATTTCCTGGGTTCCAAATATAGTGCTACTTATTGTGTAGCTGTTGCCTCTATTCTATAGCAGGAACTCAATTTCCCCTTGTCATCAAAATCAGTCACTCTGGACAGTACAGTAGTCTGTCATGTACCTGTTAGTTCAGCTGCATGGAAAGTCCCCACATGGCCAAAGCATAGTCTTGGTTTCCATTTAATCAATTTTCTGGTAGTAGTCAAGATTCATGGTAGAAACATGCCTACTTGAGCACTAGGACCTTAAAAATAACAAAGCTAAGGTCTTGTTGACTGGAGGTAAAAATTTTCAAGTGGGTCGTTAAGTGTAATAATGAGAGGGACTATGCTTACTTCTGCCTCTTGATTGCCAGACCTGTGCAATCTGTGGAGGGAGATTATCATATTTTGGCTATGGTTTAACACAAATAGTGCATCCTGTAGGACCACATGTCCTCTTCACAATATTGTTTTCAAACAGATATGGTAGCTGAACCTTTAACAGGCCATTTCACTCTCTTTTCAAGCCCCTCCTGAATGATGGAGTATATAGTGAGGTCCGTGAAATCCATGAGTGTGTTGCCATTGCCACACGTCTTTTGTCATAACTATATTCTTTGTTTGGAGGCAGTGTTGTGATAGATAAGGCATTCCATAAATCTAAAAGTCATGCTGCACCTCATGAGGCAGAGAAAGAACATATGAATTAGAACACAGGTCTATCCTTTAGAGGACAAAACAGTGTTCACTCCATAGGGATAGGGATCCATATAATCAATCTACTATCAGATAGCCAAGTGTTTCTTCTGGGGAATTGTGCCATATTGAAAGCTGAGCATTGGCTTATGCTTTTGGGAGGCTGGGTACTCAACAGTGGCAGTAGTCAGATCAGCATTTGTGAGTGAAAGACCATATTGGGCTCATACACACTCTCCATCCTTGTGGCCATAGCCACTTTGTACATGGGTCTATTGAGTAAGCACTGGATTATCGCGGGAAAGAGACTGGGAAAGAGTCATCTTCTCCACTTGAATAATGATGGCCTTTTTTAGAGTGTATGTTAATATTTTTATATTCTCTGCCCATTTAAGAGGTCCATTCTCATACCTCTTCCCCAGACCTCTTTTTCATCATTTTCCCATTTTCTTTTACAAATCTCTGATCATTTACCAAACTCATTTTGTCACTTCTCATAAGTCAGTCTATTCTAGATCCATATCTCTGTCCATTTATCCTTCCACATGGTATAGACAAATACACAATTTTGAATAGGGTTATAGTTTTGGGATCATCCATCTTCTGGCAGATCATAACATCGATTGCAAATCCATTTTTAAACTAGGATCTTACTCCTTCCTTTTAATTTGTATTAAGGAAGTTCGCCAGTAAACCAAAGGAGAGGACTGAGGAAGAGGGGTTAAATCAGGTACCATGAGATTCTAAGCTGCCTGATTAGGAAGTTTAGTTATCCCTCCTGGACCTGTTCAAACCTACTCCCTTCCATTATATGATGAAATGCTGCTTTGTTTGCCCACTATTATGTTTCAGAACATCAGTAACTAGTTCATGATGTGAAGTTCAGGTTGCATAATAATTTGGTGTCCTGTGGTCAGGCATTTTTCTCTACCAGAGTTTTGTCACAAGCCAGGTGATGTTTTTAAATGAAGTATTACCTGCACAGTAGGGCATGGTCTTTTTTGAAAACTATCCAGGGACTTTCTAGAGACTTTTAACAGTATCTGTGTCACAACACTTTGAATATCCCTGGATCTCCTGGTCATAAAGCCCATTTGGCTGCGGAATTTGAATTGAGGCCTATACCTGTTATAGAGCCCTTTCTTACTGTAGGTCAGGTTGAAAACTGACAGACTAATGGGTTACCTCCCCTGACCAAGTGGGTCAGACTAACATATGTAGGGTATTTCCAAATTGTAGAGGCCCACCAAGATTTGTACCTCTTTGTAGTGGGCTGTTCAGGCACAACATCTCATCCTCCACTTTAGAAGAATTTCTTAATTTGTATGAAACTACTCAACCCCTAGAAACTTCATTTTCCTGTTACACCCTTGAACTTCCGCAGGACTTCTCTCCCTTCTTCTACCAAACATGTTCCTTGCTCAGGCACTACCACTATTAGTTCTCATTAGATCCAGTTGGCATAACATTACCCATGTAATGGGCCAGCATGATATTCTGTGAAATAATAAAATGATCAAGTACTCTCCAGACTAATTATAAAGGAGCAAGAACTGATTATATCCTTGGGACTAGACAGTTAAGGTATTCTGTTGCTCATTCATGTAAATGCAAATGGCAATAGCTAAAGACTACCAGTCAACTATGCCGTCTTGAAGGTAGTTCTGAACAGTGTGCCTCCCTAGCCACTACAGAGGTATGGCATAGATAATATCTGTGATCCCTTTGGACCCTCTTGAGATGGATTCAGGGTAATGTTGCATTGTTCACTTGATCCTCCATAAGCTCTCTGACTGGAGGCTCTCAGTAGAGTTTCAGAATTACTGGGGCGCCTGGGTGGCGCAGTCGGTTAAGCGTCCGACTTCAGCCAGGTCACGATCTCGCGGTCCGTGAGTTCG